TAAACGTATAAAGTATTTGATACAGTACTTTTGCTGGCCACGTGAAAATAAAATTATCGTAAAAATATACTATTTTGCCTGTGAAATTGTCAGTTTCTAGAATACTTCCTTAAATGTAGTCAAAATATGTATGACGTTTCTAGTTAAAATACTTATAATGATATAATGCTGGAAGAAAATGCATGAATTAGTTGCACCGACAAGAGGTAACACTTAAATGAAAAGAAGATGCAATGACAACTGATAATTTGCGTAATAAAGTAGTTAATATCATTACGTTTATAGTTTCTGATTTAACTTTTATCATACGCCAATTTAGATACTGCAGTTTCCTAAAATACACCTAAGTTAATATATATAATTTGGCTGCAGTTTAATATATAACTTATTATTAATAGACACATATGTTTTACAAATTAAATTATGTATATGTATGTACATGTATATATTAATTTGACAGGGAAAAAAGAATCTCTCGATGGTATAGGGCTCTCTCATATAATTAGTGTTAGATGTACCTAAGTTGTATCCACATCAATTGAGTTGGTTATTCGTGATTCAGTTATAATCATTACCTTATTATAATCACCTAGTAACCCTTATTTTATTTTCCGTTCCTCACATATTACTAAGTAATCAAATATTACCAATAATAATAGTACCAATTTAAATCTGACCAGCTATATGATTTAATATATTATTATTAGCACCTATTATTCGAGACTAGTTTAATATTCAGTTTTATGAGCCTGTGGATATTTACAAATGTGTTACAAATTACAGTCTGCCAGCGTACCAATAAACAAATTGCAAAGCGTCCAATCGAAACGGCGAGCAATTTACACGGCGAAATTCCTGTTAACACTTAAAACTATAATTAGTATCATTATCGCACTCGGCTTTATAATTCAAACTCATTTATTTTCTTCTTATACTCGTATTCCATCTTTTACACTTGTTATACGTAGTTCACGTTCGGATATTACAACAATGAGGCATACAAATTATCGCTTGTGCCGACGTCTGCTCATCTTTAACTTGAAATAATGACGTAATTATCAAAAATCGACTTTATTCCGCGAAGTATAAAGGTTATACTGGCTTTAGTTGTTGAATGTATACGGTCGTTTTTGATTTCGCCCAGAGGTCAGTGGTCGGCGAATAACTCGGAAAGACATGATTATGAGTGGTGTGGTGGGCTTACACTCCACACCTTGTTACGTGTTAACAGACTTATTCCCTCACGATGCAATATATATATGGGCAACTAATAATATACATTTATTGTGTATTATTTTGAAGACTGAGTGTTTCAATTTAACGATAGATATTAAATATATGTTACTTTGCGTACTAACTTTTTAAACTAAGCTTACACAAAAAAATAGTAGGTTTAGAAAAGTACTTAAACAAACTTAGTCAATAAATTAGAATATATCATTATCATGTTTCCTATATGCAAATTAGTGGATTTAATATCAGGTATAGTTTTAAAAGATCTGATGTTGAGAAGCTTTTTTGTTGATCTGAAATTTCCAGTTTAAAATTTCGCGAATATGGAGCCGTTGGAAAAAGCTACATAAAAATTAATTAAATGGGTATAACCACATTAATTAAATGTAAATAAAGAAATAATTACATCAGATACAACAGTATTTCATTATATCTACGAGTACATAACATGTACAAGACTTAGAACATCAAAGGGATTACATACAATTTGAAAGGATAAAGCGTTACAGAACTTCATTGCTTTATTTTATGATTGAATATAAACATTTTATAATGACACGTACTAAAATAATAATTATATAATAAAATCATAATATTATTCTATATTCTAATCTGAAAAAAAAAACAGCGTCTTCAAAAACAGCAAGCATGGCTATACAAATATGGGACAAATACGAGAGTAAACCCCATTGAGTATAATTAGAATTACGAAAATCGATCCATAAATTGTGAAGATATTGAATGACATACATTTTTTTATATATTCTGGTTCACAAAATACCAGCGATTACAATCGTGACAAAATTAGATAATATGAGAGGAACACTAAAACATAAAATGGTCAGGCGAATAGAAGAATTCCTTTTATTTTAAAGTTACTAAAAATATGTTAGAATGAACCTATCATAATGTTCAGTAGAATCTCGAACATTGATTATCCGAACTTATTCTTCAGGGCTCTAATTAACAATTTAGAAATGGTATTAGGTATTAATTGGGTAAATAGGTATTATGTTATCCATTATCTTTATATCGTATTTTTTTTATACTATATTGTCTAAATGACGTATGGAAAACCCTTTAAGTAATAAAAAAATACATATTTAATGATTATATGGAATACTCCTGGTTTTACAACCGTAGTTAGGCGTTGATGATGTTTAGAAAGGGATGTTGTTGTTCATCCCTCGGCCATAAGTTCTCTTAACCGCTTCTTATGATGCCTACGGGAATGGGGATAGGTAGCCTATTCTATGCCGTGATCACACGGTGAATAAAACTTAATAGTTGGTGTAAATTACTAAGAACTTTAATATAAAAGGTGCTAATTGCTCGCACAAAAAGATTCGCAGTCTCATAAACTAGAGAATTCACTTCCTGTTTACGTATTTCCCCTTTCCTCTTCATGTTTGGACCACACCGATATCGTAACCTTCACTTATGGACGGCGATAGTCGTTTACCATCAGGTAAGCCACGTGCTAGTTCTCTTCTTGTGCTATAAAAAAAATGACACTGTCAACATATCATCAAGTTAGTGTGGTTATTTTCACCAACTAATATAAAAAAGTCGTGATGTAATAATAGAACCTAAATTAATCATTTTAAAATTGATTTCTCTCTACATTATGTATACGTATTTTTAGGCTATATTTGCTTACCTAGAAAAAAGTAAACCTGATATATATTTTACCAAAATTGATCAGGCAGATGATGAAATATGAATTGATGCCGTTAATAAATATAAATTCATGGAGAACCAAGAAGTTTAGGTAATTGGAACTAAATATTTTTTTTTCATTATTTGACTTTGATGTGGGATAAATTTTTGCTTAGAATGGCAACGTGTGAAAGATATCATGGGCGACACTTTTATGTCCATGGTACTGTTCATATCTATAAGTAATAATTACCACTTCCTTTTTTCTTTACCTGTGTCGTCAACTTGTATGCATTTCTAAGTTGGTATTAAAAAAGACTTTTTTTATGTACATATAAATCTTCTGCAAAAAGTATATATTGTATAACTATACAAAGCCGGGGCGGGTCGTTAGTGAAAAATCAATAAACATAATTTCATTGCTTCGTATTTAAGATTGACAATGTGATCGACATGTTCACAAAACACCGCTCCTCGCTAGCTTTTAACCTCATTGTTACAGAGTTGGATCATTTGTTACAATACAATCTGCAGACAAAGACTTTGATGTTTATTAAATCTAAGCGGAAACCACGAGGTTTATATTCAGATTGACTCTACTGTTTATTTGTTTAGCTCCGTCTATTATTTACAGATACGAAGATTTATACGTTGAAATATCCGTGGAACTGTATGATAATGTTATTAAATTATTTTGAAATGTAAATTAATGAACATATTCTGATTACGCGGACGAAGTCGCGAACATAAGCTAGTTTATTAATTGCTTCGGAAACTTTATGAAGACAAACGCGCCAATTTCAAAACATTTTATGTAACACATACGATGGATATTGCAGTAACTTTGAGTGAAATTTCATTACTATACCACTTTTTTAGGGTGAAGTGACACCCGGATGTATCTCACAAATGGCAACATAGGAAGGATACTATGGGCATAACAGTGTATTTCATGACGTTCATGCCTGTAGTCGGTTATTATTTCTTATCAGATGACTAGTCAGTTTGTTTGTCATTCAAATGTTTATAAAAAAAAGTACTATGTCGGTGAATTATTATAATGCTCTGCATAAGTTTTTAATAACTGTTATAACTATGAATTATGTTATTTCATTACTTCCTTCACTCAGTCTCAAAGTTTAGACTTTCAGTTTTTATTAACCGAAGAATATAAACTCTAGACATTATAATCTAATACATGTTCCTTTAAAAATTGTTTCTTATTTTTCTGCTCCGCAAGCATTTTCTTTCATAAAAAGCATTAAATCTTAACTACCCTTCAACTTCCTCTTCGAAACACACCCAACTTATCTCGAGCAGCCCGATAATAGAGTGTTGAGCGAAGAGTGAATTTGCACTACACTTGCCTCTAAAAATATTTCACAAAGAAAAAACAGGCACGGGCGTAAGGATATCAATCTTCGATACATTGCCGCCTAAACTACCTTTGAAGTGGATGATAAACGGTCCTTTATATTTCGCAATAGTGTTGTGTCTAATAATCGATTTATAATTAATCGATTGTGCTCAGTTAGAATAATATAAGTTTCGATTGACTAATCGAAAAGTCAATACAATCGATTAAATCGAAAATATCGATCTGCAATACGTCGGTGTAAACGATACGTCTGCAATCGTTTATATCGAAATCTAGTTTATTTATTTTACGTATAATCAAGTACTTGCTTGATCAATATAATCGAAAGAATTTTAATCAATAATAATTAATATTTGATTAATATTTGTAAATAATTAAATAATGTTATCAATTACATAATCGATTATTAGAATCTTAGAAGATTAGAAGAATCGAACTATCGATTAATCGACATCCAACTATTGTTAAGCAACACTATTTCGCGGGGGAGAGTAATTTTACAGCTCCATAAATGAAGATAAGTGTGATGTTTGTGGGTACATCATTAATGTGTGACATTTGTAAATGTGTACCTACCTCTCAACTGGGATTTGTCAGTCTGTTGCCGGCATTAAAACGTATAGCTGATTAACTGCGTATATATTTGAAACTATATCCCTAAACAGTATATTTTGGCGACGAGGTATCAAACTCAAGCGTGTATTTAGTCATTTAGTGTAGTGGAAGTAAAATGGCTAGTAGTGGAAGCATGTTCGGCGGCAGTCTCAGCTTCGATCATAGAACGCAAGAATGGAGCATTTTTCAAAGCCGTTTTGTACAATATTGTGCAGCGAATGATATCGACGATAACACGGACAAGGCAGGGATAAAACGCCGTGCGTTGTTACTCACGGCGCTGGCTGAAGATACCTACCGAATAGCGATCGATTTGACCTTCCCGACCTCTGTGGAGGTTATCAACTACAAAGCGTTGATTAAAATTTTAAATAATCATTTCAAAAGTAAAAAAGTTCCTTTGGCGAGCGGCTCAAATTCAACTCGGCACAACAACGACCGGGTGAGGAGTTAGCGGAATGGGCAGCTCGAGTGCGGAATTTGGCTAAACATTGTGGGTACAAAACTGAACTGGAAACAATGCTTCGAGATCGTTTTGTTCTCGGTATGGTGCCTTCGAAGGAGAAAGAAAAGTTATTTGCTGAAAGTGTCGAAACTTTGACCTTTAACCAAGCTTTGGAGATCGCTCAAGGTGTGCAGTGTGCGCGGCAAGCATTGCAAGGGGTGGACATGGATGCAAGTGGAGGAGTGCTGGCGCAGCCGGTGTTCGCGTTGCGTACAGAGCGCAGTGAGCGCGGCGGCCGCAGCGGCGACGGTGGCGGCAGCGGCGGCGGGACCGGCGGCGGCGGCGCGCCGCGGCCTGGCTCGGCGCCTGCAGCCACGGCGCGATTTTCGTCGCGAAATGGTGCGAATCGGTGTGATGTGTGTGGTTATAAAAATCATTCAAAAGATAAGTGTCGATATGCCGAGTTCACATGTAGGAAGTGCAATCAAAAGGGACATTTGTTACGGATGTGTAAATCGAACGTGAAAAGTAATTATTTTTTGGCTGTGGATGATGACGACACTGTTAAAGGTTATGATATGTTTAATATAGAATGCATTAATGGTGAGCCGATGCGGCAGGCAGTCGAGATTGATGGTTGCAAAATAATGAGCGAAGTCGATAGTGGTAGCGCTGTTTCTGTCTTGCCTTATAGTATATATCGGTCTGCGTTTGAAAAGAAAAATAAGCTTAAACCGTGTGAAGTTGTTTTGAATTGTTACAACGGGAGCAAAATCTCACCTGTAGGTTACATAATGACTTCAGTCATTTTTGAAGGTCGCATTAAACCAATTAAATTGTTTGTAATAAATACACAAAACAATCAACCAGCATTATTAGGCCGGGATTTCATTAGCGCATTTGATTTACATTTGTGTAGGGTCGGTTGCAATAATATAAATGTTGAAAATATTAGTGATTTATTAAAAAAAAAGTTTAGTGATTTATTCAAAGATGAGTTAGGTACTTTTAACAAATATAAAATAAATTTAAAATTAAAATCAGACTCGCCATTAAAATTTTTTAAGCCTCGCCCGGTACCCCTTGCTCTTCGAACAAAAGTAGAAAATGAATTACAACGTCTTTTGGAATTAGGAATTTTAGAGAAGGTAGAATATTCTGATTTTGCCACTCCTATTGTACCCGTTCTTCGGTCAGATGGTAATATTAGAATATGTGGTGACTTTTCAGTGACATTAAATAAGGCTTTATATTCAGATAATTATCCATTGCCCCGCATTGAGGATTTGTTTGCTAAACTGCATGGAGGGGTTGAATTTTCTAAATTAGATCTTTCTAGAGCCTACAATCAATTAGTACTAGACGATTCAAAAAAATTTACATGTATAAATACACACAAAGGTTTGTTTATATACAACCGTTTAGTTTTTGGATTGTCAAATGCGCCATCTATTTTTCAACGGACAATGGAACAATTATTATCAGATATCGAGGGTACTTGTATATTTTTGGACGATATTTTAATAACAGGGGCGACTAAAGAGGTACATCTTAAGAGGTTAGAGGAGGTGTTAAGTCGACTGCAAGAAGCTGGCCTACGACTAAAATCTGACAAGTGCGAATTGTTCAAAGAATCGGTGGAATATTTAGGATTTAAAATAGATCGTAACGGCTTACATAAATCGGAGAAAAAAGTTGAAGCAATTTTAAACTGTACAAGCCCAAAAAATGTAAATGAATTAAAATCTTTTTTAGGTATGGTTAATTATTATAGATGCTTTATTCCTAACACTTCTAGTTTATTAAATCCACTGCTTACTTTATTGAAAAAAAATGAGAAATGGAGGTGGGATGCGATACATGACGAGACATTTAATATGATTAAAAAGCAATTGGCATCGGAACGGGTGCTGGCGCATTACGATCCAGTGTTAGCCACTGGGGTAACATGTGATGCCGGTCCAGCAGGACTGGGCGCTGTGCTGGCCCAGCGGCAAAGCGACGGACGCGAGCGGGTCGTTGCTTATGCGTCTAGGTCACTTTCCAAAGCAGAACGTAATTACGCACAGATCCAGAAGGAAGCGGCTGCTATTGTCTTTGCTATAAAAAAGTTTCACTACTATTTGTACGGTCGTATGATTCCATTTACGCTTCGCACGGACCACAGGCCACTTTTATCAATTTTTGGAAGTAAGAAAGGGGTACCGGAAATGGCGGCCAATAGATTACAAAGGTATGCCTTATTTTTATCGGCCTACAATTTTAACATAGAATACATTAAAAGCGATCAAAATGTTGCCGATTACCTGTCTAGATCGGTATTACCGGATCAGAATTCCAGTAATAATGTAGAGGACCAAGCTTTATATATAAATTTTGTCACGGATACAATTTTGAAACCAGTGACTATAACAGATATTAAAAAAGCTACAGCTAGCGATAAATTAATTAAAAAAGTAATGGGTTACATCGAAAAAGGGTGGCCTACCAAGATAACCGATCCAGAATTAAGGCCTTACTATAACTGTAGATTAGAACTATCAGTTGAGAATAACTGTTTAATGCGTGGCCATAAATTAGTTATTCCGGCTATTTTTAGGGAACAGTTATTAAACGAATTGCACAATTCACATTTCGGAGTTGTTAAAACGAAAACGGAAGCTCGGAGTCGTATGTGGTGGCCTCAAATAGATAAGAATATTGAGCAAAAAATCGGCTCTTGTAGTATATGCGGCGCGCTTCGAAACGCGCCACCGCGCGCTCCGCTCGCGCCGTGGCCGTACCCTTCGCAGCCATGGGAACGTATACATCTAGATATGTTGTATATAGATGGAAAATATTTCATGGTAGTGATAGACGCACACTCTAAATGGTTAGAATGTTTTTTAATGACGACTACTACTACTGAAATGATTATTTCTAAAATATGTGAACTGTTTAGTAGGTTTGGGTTGGTGAAAACTATAATTACTGACAATGCTCCTAATTTCTGTTCAAATCAATTTGATGAGTTCTGTAACAAAAATGGAATACAACATTTAACTATCGCTCCCTATCATCCACAATCAAATGGGCAAGCAGAAAACAGTGTAAAAACTATAAAAAAGGCTTTAAAAATTATATTACAAGAAAACAAAACACAGAAAACTATATTACAACAATTGAATAAATTTTTATTTGATTATAGAAATAGTAGTCATTGTACTACCGGTTTTTCTCCAGCCCAGTTGTTGTTGGGTCGGTCTTTACGTTGTAGACTCGACCTCCTGCTGCACGTGCCAAATGCGGATAGGACAAATAATTTAACAGAGTCAGTATCAGCTACAGCCAATTCTAATGTTAAAAATAAACAGACCTTACAGAGTAAACAATACGGAGGACATCGCAGAACTGATTTCAAAAAAGGAGATAAAGTTTTAGTTAAGCAGTATTATAATAATGGTAACAAACATATTTGGCAATTTGGGATCATATCTAAGGAAATCGGTTCTAGGATGTACAACGTGTTATTACCGGGAAGTAAACAGTATGTAAAGAAACATGTGGATCAAATTTTAGCTTATAGAGGCTCGGATAAAACTTATGAGGTTGATGATGTAAGCATTATTGGAAGCTTTGAACAAGAATATGAGAAGAGCACAGAGGGCCAAGAAGATTGCATATACGAGCAACAAGATCAAAACAGCGATTCTTCATTTCAATCATTACCGGAGAACAACAATAATAGTATGATGTCCAAATTGGGAGAGGAGCGAGCTGGTGGGGAGGAGAGAATATTAAGTGATAACAGCGCGTCGAGTCCGATACCTCTAGGTTCGGATCCAGTGCAGCCTCTCAATGTGCCATCAACTGATAATAATGAACACACCTTGCGTCAAAGACCCCTTAGAGCGACTCGGAAAAAAATAAATTATAAATTGTAATTGAGATATTTTAGGCTGTTCATTGTTTTAGATAATTTTATACTACTGGTGGAGGGATGTGATGTTTGTGGGTACATCATTAATGTGTGACATTTGTAAATGTGTACCTACCTCTCAACTGGGATTTGTCAGTCTGTTGCCGGCATTAAAACGTATAGCTGATTAACTGCGTATATATTTGAAACTATATCCCTAAACAGTATAATAAGATTGCTGCCTGGACCCCATTTATCCAAGGTCCGTGCCAACACTCGTTACGTTTTATTTTGTCTGATCAATCACTTGGAAATGAGGAGGAACTTTATGTTTTCCTAAGACCCACCTACCAAAATGTTTTTTGTTTTCAAAAACATTCATGAATAAATAACTACCATGGACAAATGATAACTACTAAGACAACAAGTAAAAAGAGAATTGGTTGGTTGGTAGGATTGATATAAAACTTAATGAATATCAAATATTCTGTCTTAGGATTTTGATGTTGATTGAATGGAGAAATAAACTGCGAAGACTTCTTATATAAATCTTTAAATACTGAACATATTATAATTATGATTCCCACACCACAAAATTTAAAATACATTTTGATTTTAGAAATAAAAAACAAATATATCATCAAAGTCTGTGTAAATAAATCGTTTGAATAGGGCTTCTATTTATTTATCACAAAGGCTTCATTAGTATTAATGATATGTCTATCAATAGTGAATTATATTTACGCATCAAACGTGTTAAGTAATATAGATAATTTAATGACATTTTATTAAAGGACAAGAGATTTAATTTATTTATTTTTATTTAATTGTATTATCAAAATTGGAGAATAGTCAGTTAACGCTAACTCTACGTGCTAAAAATTTATTACAATTATACAAAAGAATACTACAATATAAATATAATAAAAAAACTGTTAATTTCATTATTTTATTCATTATTATCATAAGAATCGACATACTCGTACAGTTGATGAAGGTTGTATGTAACATACAATAAATAGACAGTTTAATTGAAACTTTGTGAAGTTCGTTTGAAAATAAATAAGATATAAACATCTTACATTACGGGGATAAAATATGTCTTAGCTAAACAATATCTTAGATAGCAATACCTATATAGTTAAGTATTAATAATAAACACATCGTTATCATTAACTAACAAAGCTTCATAAATGTTATTATTATGAGCATACTGGATTTGAAGATCACGACGCCGCAAAGCCAGTATCCTATGGGATTAACTCATACTGATGAGACGTTGAGGTCAGGAATAGTTATGCAGCGTTCGTGGAACATAATATGTTTGTCTGAACTTGTATGTTCATAAATCAACTCCGCACGGTAAATTTAAAGCCACATTAAGTCAAAAGCCTTAAGCGATATGTACCAAACTCACGAACATTATTTAAAATTGCTTCTATAATGTTATAATAATTACAATTTGTCACTTTAGATTTAAATTTAAATTTTGAGTGGGTTTGTATTTGAATAGTAATTTATTTATAAAAATACCAATAAATAATGGTAAATTCAATTAACCTATAATAATTTTGTATATATTTTACGTGATGTCTTCACCAATTGTGAAACCGATTTTGATTATTTTTTTTCAATCGATAAGGTCTGTTATATTTAAATTTTATGATCTTTATAATATCTTTATTTTAGTTTATTCTTGTTAAGAAAAAATACACCCAGATCTCTCAATTGATGAGTCAAACCCAAACACTCAATTTGTTTATGCAAATATAAATTTTTTGAGTACAATCAAACCTGACTTACAAAACCAGAGAAAAGCTTTATACAAAAGTCATCTGCATGGGTACCTCTGTCCCATCCATTTTTCCGTCACAATACAGCTATGTTTGCATGTCTGTGTTTCGGTATTTGAATCCTAGTCCTCAAGAATGATAACGCATTAGGGTACAGTGAGTATCACAATATATTTAGTGATATTCGTGTTGCTATTAATATTTATATAGGGTATGGCTACCACTTTCTATAACAAGGGTTGTTTAGTATTCTAAGTATTATAAAAAAAAAAAACCTACGCACTTAATTTTGTAGTCTTCTAAATTCTTATTTTATATACTTGTGTGAGACTCGTTTAAAACCTCGCATTTCTTATTCCCAACGATACATAATTTCCTCTATCTATTCTCGCTGGCTCCGGTCCCTCCCAATAATCCTCTAGCTTTATAGCTTGTTATCTACCGTCTTGCGGGATTCCCTTGGCCTTCATTACAATTTTCGTCTAATATTACATACGGATAATAAACAAGCTTGAATGGCCCTGGAAAATGTTGCTTTTATAATGAGGACTACGGTTATTATTTTATATTTTGCAAATCCGGGATCATGACTGGTAGGAATCAAATCTCTATAATTGCTTGCTGTAAATTAATAATAGACTCTTATATCCATTAATAGATTATTATTATTACATTATATTAATAGAATTTGTTTAAGAAATTGATTTATTGAATCGCGTTATCGATGTGAATGTACATAATAATATTATATTTCCTTTTATTTTGTATGTGTTGATATTTATTCATACAAATTTTAAAATCATTTTTTAATACTTTTATATATAATAAGTCTCGAATATACAATACATATACCTATAAACGTATAGTGTAAGCCGACCCCCGGTATAGTGAGATATCCTTAAATGCACGGAGTCGATACAAATGGCTCAGGACTCTTCTTTTTACGGTTTATGGAGACAGTTTATATTCAGCTGTATATGACAGAACTGATAATGATAATGATAGAAGATGATAGTAGAAATAGTTGTAGCAAAACAATTTGAAGAAGAAACTTGTACGAGTATTTTGCATTATATCTATGTATTATTCGATTACGAAAAATAATTACGAAATTACTTTATAATGTTTGACATATTCGCGTATTTACATACAGAAAAATACAATTGTGTTAAGACCCTTCTCCCCTTTGAAGTGTCTTAGAAATAATAATGACATTGTCTACGTCAGTCATAACGGATTATCGACTAAGTCTCTGGAAGTTTTGAAATTCTCTAACATATTGCGTAGAGGAAGTTTACTAGATTGAAGCGAATCCCCTGCTGATGAGCGAGCAGCGGCTTCCGGAGATATAGATACCTAAATAAATGATATACACATGGGCATACGTTGGTTGCGAAGATACGGCTTACCGATTCAGTTTCTGGCACTTCGATCCACTGTGACATGCACTTCGCAAATTGTAACACAAACATGCCGTCTTTTTAGTTTTTATACTGTCATCGTACGATGGTTTGGGAATATTTTCCTGGCAAGTGTACCGTATTATTAAACGACTTCAAAAATAAACGAGGCTTTAAATTCCTATGAATTTTTTGCGACTATGTTACAAATACTGAATTTTTCGATTCGATATTGCATGGAATATATGGATTTTTATAATTTTTTTTGCAATAGATATATTTACTCGTGTAACTTATTATATAACGATTAAAGCAGAAATTTTATATCATAAATTTGAAATATTGTCAATGTAAGGTTATGTGAGTTATGTGCATGTGAGCGTGTTAGCGTGTAAGCATGCGTGTATATATGGGTGTGTGTGTCTCTTTCTCTCACTCTGTCTGTGTGTGTGTGTGTACATGTGTGTATATGTGCATGTGTATGTATGAGCGTGTTTGCGTAATGTGTGTGTAAGGATACTCCAAATTTTATCCTCCACAGACACTAGGATTATTTGTTTATAGACAAAATTAATTGGGCAATTAGCTTGTTTACAATTCTATGTTACTAAAAACATAGAGGATTATTTTATTCACTGGCAAAATATTCAACATCTGCGCAGGTTTTTATTTTAATATACTTTGTTAGGTCCTGATATAAATTTTATTTATAACTAAATAAAATGATTATCTCTTTTGACATTTCGCACTACCCGCAATAATGAGCAGACTGAACTTCAGCGACGTCGTTGTCGCTAGGTGTCAATAGTTTCTAAAGTATCAAGAACTTTCTTTGCATATATCCAAGTCGATAGTTATCATCTACTCGTAATTGTTAAACAATAGTTTGCAACACCGAGCCACAAAACACTATTCTGTGACTGAGCAATGATAGTTTACAGGTAAAATCATTGATTTATGTAGTATCCCTATACTCATTGGCCGATCTTGCTGTACATCATTTGCTTAGTTTGCCATTACCTAAATGAATGGTGTTAATACCCATCATAATAATACAAATGTGAAATTTAAAAGTGAGTGTTAGAAATCTAGTAGACAAATTCCTATAGTTTTAGGAAAAACCAAGGACGTGATTGTTAAAAGCAGCTTCTATTTAACCTAATCGTTTCATAATTATCATTTAAAGATATTATTACATTCTGTACTTTATATAATACCAGAGGGAGACTTTGTACAAAAGTCGATTGCTTGGGTACCTCTGTCCCATTCGTGTTTCAACCGTGAAGTAGTTGTGTTTGCATGGCTGTGTTTCGGTTTGAAGGGTGGGATATGGCGTGAATTTACAGGGTACAGAGGAATAACATCTGAGTCCTCAGGAATGGCAATGCATGGGAGGTATCATGGGCAAAACAGTATACTCTGCTATGTCCATGGTACTGCTCATGTCTCTAGGCGATTGTTACCACTTTCCATCAGGTGGGCCGTTAGCTTTTTTGCCATTCTAAGTTGTATAAAAAAAAATAAGTAAATAAGAGTTATATAACGATATTTCATAATTAAAAAGTTCGACATATTTATTACGCTTATTTTAAGAAAAAAGAAAACAATGTAATTTCGTATTAATATAAAACTTAGGTGTTTTCTAGAAAAAAAAAAAATATTATTAATTATACCGGTATTATGAGTGACGTAAATTGTTACATATTTTGTGTTTTCCAATATATTTTATAAAAGGAACCCGTCTATTATGAAATACATGGCTTAGAAAGGGTATATCTACTCTTATAACATCATTAATTCGGGAATACGATACTGTAGAAGGTAAGAAGCAACACAAGGTTACAGGAAATTTTCTTATAACGTCTTTGCGAAAAAAAAGACCTGGAAAATTATTCAAGTGAACGTTATGTTTCTATGTCAGTTAACCATAAATATTAATTTATTTCAAGTGCTTAATTCGGCTGCTTCTAAACATAAACGTCCAACATAAAGTATCATAAGGACCAGAAATACAATACAGAAGCACTAGT